CACTTTTATGATGCATCCAGCAACTTGGAAGTGTAAATGTAGTAGCTGTTATTGCGGAACACGGCTTAAACTTCCTTAAAAACCGTGGAACATTCACTTCAACTAAGGTAACAATTAAGTCACTGAATCGGGAAATTGGTGTTAGTATCAGGGTTTTACGGGAGGTCTTACTGAATTCATACTACATTTTCTTGTCTAGCTTTTGCACAATAAATATATGTTGGCATTAAGTTATTTATAACTAAACATACATGTACTCATATTCACAAACTGATTGACATCTTAGGCTTTTTAAGCCCAAATAGCTGGGGGTACATTTTTATGTGTCGCGTGTCAGTTTTTTGAAAAGGAAAAATGATTTAAAGACCATCAATCTTAATTTCTGTTTAAAGTCTAAGATCTTCACCCGGAGAACGAAGATCGCTGGACTTCTTGAATTGGTTGTTCCGGAGCATAAACCTGTATGTTTGCCCCCAGCTGCTTCAAATTTGAAGAATGTAGAGGCATTTTGCGAATTAATTGCTCATTAAATTCATGCATTAAGCAAATTTAAATCAAAACTCACAACCTCAACAAGTGATGGCGACTAAAATAATGTTTCGACGGGGAGATGCTGAACAATTTAATTGTATTTAATTACGCAGTGCGATTTGAATTTGAACTTTAGCATTAGTTCAACTCATTAATTGGACAAAGAGCCATTAAACAGAAAACTTAAAAATACAATAATAAAGTTAAAATAAAATAAAGACCGAAAGTAAACACGAATTCAACACGCAATGTGAATTGGATGGATTTGATGTCCGGTGACGTGGTCACTTTTTTGGGCCTGGCTAAAAGCCGATCCCAATCCGATTCCGACTCGGAATTGGAATTGGAATTGGCCAAGCTACATTGCCCTTCGAGCCAACAAGACACTTGGACCTGGGCTATCAGCCAAGTGCCATCGACATCATCATATGCATATCGTGGGCCAACTCAAAGTACGAAATACGACAAAGAAACTGTTTAAAATTCCACACACAAATCGTTGCAGTGGCAGCCGTTGAAAGCAAAATTGAAGCCGAAATCGAAATTGAAAATGAAAATGGGTTACAACTGTCCAAGGTCGTTGCAGAAGTGGGAAACCAAAGCGAAAGCGAACCAAAATGTGGGAGGTGGGCCTGTTTGAAGAGGCCCTTTCAATGTACCAATGTACTTTTGAAAAAATCTCGTGCACACTTATTACTTAAATATAATTATAATAAATGTATTTGAATCAGAGTTAGTTTCAATTATGTTTATATTTTCACAATACACCTATTAATTTTAATTCAGCATTTATCTCAATGAGGTTTTAAACTCATTAAAAAACATAACTTTCAGTGTGATATATGCATAGCGCAACACAATCTTTCCACTGTGGCAAAACAAAAGACTTAGACAAGAAACACACTTGATGGGAATCATCACTATCAGTCGCATTTATGATCATCATTGTATTTTACATGAAAATGCATAGGCGAATGCAGGGGCATTTTGGGCCACTATTAACCCATTAAATTCCCACGTTGACCCATGCACAAGTGGACTTTTGATTGGTTTGGAAAACCCAAAAATGGGAGAGAAGATGTCGCACACGTTTTTAAATGTATCAGTGACTAAATGTTTTCACTACTATTGCAAAGAGCCCGACTAAGCCTTTTTTGTGAATTATTTATTTCTTTTCGGAAATTTCACTCAAGTTAAAAACATTGGCGGAACTCCTGTTTAACTATGCTTACATGACATTTCATAATTTTCGAATTCTTTTTGTATTACACACATTCTTTACGCAACTCTTGATTACCAGAAAGCTTAATTTCATTTATTTTTTACGCCCAGCCATTGAGTTTCATTGGCCTTTTGCATTCTCTGCTTTGCCACTTTTTGACGCGTTCTAAAAAGCCAAATCACTGACTCTGCATTTTCTTCGCACTGTTTATTGTTTGATTTGCAAATCTATGTATTTGAACTGCAAACAAATTTGTACACATGCAAACAAACAGAGACATCGTGTTATCAATACGCCCCGTTGGTTTTAGCCGATTCACGAGTGTTGCCATCGCATTTGATGGATTTGATCTTTCGCCATTGGATCGCTGATCTTTGGATGTCGCTGGTGCATGTTGGACACAATATTGCATACTATTCACCATTTGGAAACATCTCTTTGTTTTCCCGGGGAGAACCGGTTCGTTTGCTGCATTCGAATGCATTTGAAGCGCCGCAAATGGGGAAGAGATGAAATGGCATGGCCCTCTCTGTTTGCCCAGGCAAACAAGAATTCTAGATGGCTAATGGAGTCGAACAGCCGGGAAAATTTGCACGAAATGCCAAAAAGCCAAGACGGCAACATTTCAATTGGCAAAGCAGCCAGGCAAACTTCACACAATTGCCAAACTCGAGTCAATCAGTTAGTTACTCAGTCACTCTGCCCGTCAGTTGGTTAGCCACTTTTTAGAGCCGCCAGTCGAGTGTTGCACGTTGCCGTTTGGCCGTTGGTTGTTGCCTCTTGAAAAATCGCAACAGCAACTTGCAACTTGGCCTGTTAATGAGTCGCCGTTGACGTTGGCTCTTGGTTCCGCGGAACCAAACTCGCTCAGATTGCCACAGGCCCCCAACAGACATGGCCAAAACTACAGCCATGCAGTCGCGGCAACAGGTGCATTTCGAAAAATAATGGTGCCTTTTAATTGGCAATTTAATTCAAATCAGTTCATTATTTCACTAAATGCATTTAAATAATTTTTATTGTATTACATTGATTGTACTTTTGATAATGGCGAAATATGATTGCAATATTCTAATATGTTTAGGACATATTTATACGATTTCTTTCTTTAATATTTATGAGCTTACCATTTGAATTGTAATTAAGCTTGTTAGTTACCAAGAAATACTGCTTTCTTTTATCTAAATCGTGTAAAATGTTTATAGAATTTACTTGCAATATATATTTTTTATCAGTGTGGAATAGCGGCAGCCGCAGTCAATTGCCCCATTCTTCCTTTTTTCGAGCCGAAAGAGAATGGTTATTTTCGCATGCCCTGTAAATCTACTTCGCTTTAATGGGTTGATCAGACACACATCTGTATATATTTCCGAACATCTGTTAGTTGACATTTCAAGCACTTTTGGATAATATATATCTGCAGCTCCAGGTGGTTTAAAAACGTATATTTTATTAGCCCAAATTTCAAGTTCTATGAGAACTGGATTATTTGGTTTTGTCTTGGCTTTGCGTTCATTTCTTTCAGTAAGTAGATATTTATATGCTAGACTTCTTTTTATTCTACTGAAATTTAAAAAGTAACTTATAGCTAATTTAATATGCGATATGTATTGGCTAATTGATTTTAAATGGACCTGAAGATATTTATATTAAAGTTAAATTATTTACTACTAAATGTATAAGTTTGTAGGAATATACTTTGAAAAGATAGTAATTAAATGTATTATTTTGGATGCATATTTTATGAAATGATAGTAACGACAAAGTCGTAACCCTCGTAACTTTTTAAGTACCTATGCTCATAGATAAGCCTGCGGGCTTTTGGGGGCCCGCGATGTGTGTTTTGTTTATGTTTTTTTGTTTTTTTTTGTTTTTTTTGGCTTGGCACTGCTCTGGTTCCGCTTGCAATTGACGCCTGTTGCAAGAACCCGCTGGCCAGATACGTCCAAAGCTGTGCATATAGCCAAATAGCCATATGGCTAAGCGAGCTGCAAATTGGCGGCGTCGGGTCGGCTTGGGTAATTTGATATTGGCAACCAGACCAGACCGGAATCACTTTCAATGGACTTGCGTCAGTTTCTATTGCGAATGGGATTGACCCCATTGCCTGAGGTGTAAGTGATAGGTTCTGGAAGATTGTTAATCATCTTTTTCTTTTTGTGAGTTATTGGAGAATCTGCCGCAAATCTTCAAGTGATTGAAACGAGTTATTGGCCCATGCTGGCGAATTGGCTGTAATTATACTTCCAAACTTTTTGCGACCTGATGTCCAGAATGCGATTAATCAGCAAACATCTTCATGGCCAATTTAACCTCGTAGTTTTGTTTATTTTTGAAACAGCTACGCTGATGTCATTTGCCCTTTCTTTGGAATCTTTCACCGCTTACAATTCTGTCGCGTCATGCCAATTTGCTAAATTTCCCTTCGATGTATGTGTAAGGCTGAAAAGAAATATTCTAATTAATTAATATCGAAATCAAGCTTTTTAGCTATGGTGTTGTCCCAGAAATGGGAAATACCTTTGGTTCTCTCTTCTTTTGGAGTTTAATTGGCGAGTTTTGATTGCAGTTGCAAGTGATTGTGGGAATTATCAAACCCACTATCAAACAATAAGATCAGGATAGATTCCATACTATAATAACTATATTAACATCACTATGTTGCATTTCCAAATGCGAAGAGATAATTCTTGGGAAAACGACGATATTTGTTGATGTGAGTTGAAAACTCGAACAGAGCAATTTGTCATTGCCATTTATCAGGGGTTTTGAGCATGGCCACAATTAGCAGCAGTCGATAGCTGAAAAGATAGTGCCGAATGTGGGAAGAAGTGTCTGGGATTCTCGGCTGAAATCCGCAGTTGAACATTCGGCAAATGCAATTCTCAGAGCTGCGAGATCGGCGATTGGGAATCGTAATCGCCAGAGCCGCAGTCAGTCGCTCAAAATTCGGCTTGCATTTCGTTTTGAAATTCGGTCTGCGGCTAACGCACACACACAGACATACGTGTATTAGGCCAACACGGATACTGACCTATACATAGAGCCTCCCGGGTTTTAGGCCCCCGAACCGCTGAGCCGCTAAGCCGCCGCCGAACCACCCAACCACCGAACCACCGACCCACCGACCCACCGAACCACCGAACCACCGAACCACCGACCCACCGAACCACCGAACCACCGAACCACCGAACCACCAAACCGCCGAACCTGAGCGGTCTTCGTATGCTCGGCGGCATTTGGACAATCAGTTGACGTTGAATGTTTCGTCTTGGCGGTCGCTTAATTCAATTCGCTGAACGCTGACACAAACGATCCGAAAATCACCGATCGCCGATCGTTCCGTTGTAAAAAAAGATTTTTCCAAAATTCTTGGTTTTTTTTTCTGTTCTGTTGCGTCCTTTGCTCTTGTGTGTGATTATTTGTGTGATTATGTGCCAGAGAACTGAAAACTCATAAGTCGCATAGAAAGTACACAAGAGGGTTTGCTAATCCAGGATCCTTGGCAGGATGTCACGGCATATGCTGTCTCTACTGCTGGCAGTAATTGCCAGTAGTCAGGCGCTCGAGGGCGTGGTCCATCCCACCTGCAATCTGAAGGACAATTGCAATTTGGGCGATAATCTCCTGGCCGGAGCCAATGCCGCCTCCGATGCTGGCGATGTGTCTGCCGATAAGCTGGAGAGCAAAATAGCTTCGATTTTCGAGGATAAGGTCAACTACAGCCTGAAGTTGTTCGCCGACGATGCGACCACAACGATCCTGGAATATCAGACGGCCAACTTGAGTCAACTGCATGCGGTAACGCCTGGAAATTATACGATGCATCAGGTGCAACAGGCGGAGGACGAGGACGACCAGGTGGAGGAGGATGAAAGGGGTAAGTCAAGTGGGCGATCCATTACCGATCCACCGATACATTCGCTCGATCAGCGATTTCTGCTTTTGAAATGCAACTTTCGATAGGGATTGCATAAGAGGCCGTGCGTCAAATCAAAAGCAATTGCTTGGCCGCTTCGTATTTGGCCAAGATGCGTCATCTTTTTGGGCCACTTCCGGCTGACCGTAAGGGCCATCGCGAGAAATTGGTTAAAATGTCGGCTTATCTAATCGATGCCTCGCCTTTGGTTGGCCACTTATTCTTGTTAAGAGGTCTGGCCTTGCTGGATCTTTTTTATTTTCTTTTCCGGTGCCAAATATTTGCACTTAAAGTTAGGACCTCATTTTGTTTGGCTGATGGGGGGGTTTTCCGTACACTCGATACTCACTGGTTCCTGCGAATGGAGTGACCAAGTCAAGGCAATGTGCGAAGTCTCACGTAAACGAAACAATTTTACTCTGTATTTTATTGCATTTTTGCTCCTCATAATGTGATAAGGTCGCGCCGCACGTAAGCGAACTCAGAAATTTGGAGGTTTAACCCATATAATTGTTTCAACTGTAATCGCCTTAAATTACAGAAGTAATTATCTTAATTGCTAAGCAGCATCTTCGGATTTTGCAGCAGCTCATGCTGCTATTTATGTGCTTATTTATTGTCGCCTTAATTATTTGTTGCACTCAGTGAATGTCAAAACGATGTTCAAAAAGTTATTTATGTGCTTACGCTAAAATATATTGAGCTGCATTTTATCTAAACCAGTTATTTTTATAATTTAATCAAATTGAGCCACACTTCGTTACATTGCAATGCGCAACATTCAAGCCGAATATCGTATTTATATCGTAACGAATGCCGTATATTTCAGCCACATTAAAGAACCAAATAAATGAATTACTTCCAGTAGTTCCAGCATGGAACTAAGCTTACTTCAGTACTTAGCCCCTATATCGTAAGTAATGCCATGCCGAATATCGTAATATCAGATACTCGGCCATTCATCAAGCACCATCGAAATTACCCAACGTTATGCCAATAGCACTTCCTCGACTCGAAGTGCCTGCTCCACTCGATAGTTCCAATGCGTAACGAATGCCGCTTCGTAGCGCCAATTCTGAGTGTTATGTCCGATGCAGATGCTCCTTCCACTCGAGTCGCAGTCGCTGCTCATAGTACCGCCCTCAAACACGGCGCATAACATAATAAAACCGAGTGCCCAGCCCATTTGACGACCCAGCTTAAGTGGTTTTTGGTTTCGGTTTCGGTTTTTTGCCCACTTTGTGCCTGGTTTGTTTGTAATTGATCTTCCCAAGTGGTTGCTTGTCGCCGATTTGTTGCTGTTGTGTTGTATTTTTATTTTTATTTAACATTTTTTTGTGAGTGTGCATATACTTACACCACATCGCGAGCCCATCATCCACCCATAAGTGAGCGACCACTTGACCAGGTGACTGAGGTACCGTTAAAGGCCTGTCATAAAACGCGAAACGTGTTACCCACCATCCATCCATTCATCCCAAAATAATGCGAACTACGATTTACCCAATCGTTATAGTAATGGAAATGGAATTGGAAATGACGGCGATGATGCGTCGTCCAGCAAAAGGTTAAGATATCTAAGCCGTTGAGATACCAAGAACTAATAACGGTGGCAAATTGGCTAGTTCGACAAGCTGTTTTTGTTTTTACTGTCCGGTGGCAAGCCAAAGCTAAACTGCCAATTGACTTGATAAATATTGACTTTAAAGCCCAGTTTAAGTTGAGTGGTGGTGCACCGTAAAAAGCTGGCGTTTTTAGTAATTCTCAGTTGTTCTACGTTGGAGTTTTACGCTTAGAATCCATTCAGTTGTCGGATTTATGTCAATATTTTGCAGAGAAACTTAATAAAAGGTATTAAATTTATTACATTTGTATTAAATTATAAATATTTTCAAAGAAAATCTTTGTCAACATTATTTTTGAATCTTCTCATCAGTTGAAAAGGCAAGTGCAAGATGCGAATATAATTTCAGTGTAGTGCGAGCGAGCAAACAAAACGCTGGCTCATCCGGGGACGAAGTCGATCGTGATCGCATTGTAGTATTGACTGGCGAAAATGTTTACGAACAAGTGACAAGTGCTGATCGATTTGTGGCGATCAGCAGCCAGGAGAGGTGCCACAAATAGATGTTATAATCCGCGAGATAATCCGCTGCTAATTGGCAAGATGAAATCAGTGTGCACTATGGAGCGAGATAGGTGTATATTAAGCAAGTACGAGCTGTAGTTCACATAAATCACAGCCAAGTAACCGCGTAAAGCCAAGACATTAAATGCCCATTCACCGCCACAATTGGCCATTACAATTCTGGCTGGTGGAAATCACAAACCAGATCCACTAACTAGAACGCTCTTTTGTAATCCGCGGCGTTTGCGCAGGATTGCGCGAATTTGTTGGCCTGGAATATTGGCCAATATTCGCGAGTCCAGCTGCCATTTAGTGGAGTTGGCTCTTGGCATTCAGCCGATACAGAGCTGCTCGGTTTTCAGTTATTTTCGTTTTCAGTTTTTCAGTTTTCAGTTTTCAGTTAGCAACTTGGCCAAGTGGGTCAGAGACGAATACGAAACGCACACTCAGCTGAGATAGACGGCTAATTAAGCCGCCAACTGGCAGCCAGTTGCCGCTTGTTGGCCCGGTCCAAAGTGCGATTCTTGTTCAACATGACATTCTCTGCTGGCCATTTAGCATAGATGTTTCAGTTGCAGTTTTCTCGCTAGCGAATTTACTTTTGATTTTGATTTCATTGTACGAATACCAGCAATGAATTGTCTTGGCTTTTATGGGTCGCAATTTACGATCATGCGTTTGGCTGGGGTTCAAATCGTGCCTGGAAGATCGTAAAAGTCTCTGTGGCTCTAAGATTAACATTCCCCAAAACTTCAGATGGAATTGGTTGCAAGTGAATTGCATAACAATCAACTGAGGGGCTTGTTACTAGGATCCTGCAGTTTACGATCCTCCTAATTAATCCGCGAATAGTTGTTTTATTTCCACGCGGAGCTTTAAACTCTCTTGAGTTGGAACGGAATTCATGAATAATTAAATTATAGATTTTAATGCTGAAAGTGGGTGTGCCTCAACGTATCGTATTGCGAAATGACACTTAGAGGGAAACCCACTTAACCGCATTTTTCCAGAACATTGTCGTATCCCAAGGGAGTTGGCAGCTAACTCACGATACACTTACAAACTATCCCAAAGATCTGTTTTGCCATATCAATGCCTGTGAATCTTCATAATTTGCGATGCTAATGAGCTGAGCCGGTTGTAAATGTTTCGCACGGATGCCATTGTTGCCCCATCTTCATGACGGGACTGGCAATTGTAGAATTCTCCATTCTTCCTCGTGCCCACGTCCTCGGCTCTTCCTCCGTAGAGCCGGCCAGTTTTTCCAAATTTAGTTTAGATATATATACATATATAATTCTATATATATAGAATATGACGACAGCTGGCGAGAGGCACTCGGCAGTCGGATCTCGTCGCACTCTGACGCATTTTAGCACTTTGGGGACTGCCCAGCGACACCCGCCCCTTCTGGGACCCCCTTTTGGCTGGCCCCCTTCCACGCCCAAAACAAAAAATAAAAAAAAACAAAAATGAGTAGACGGATGCAGGCGGCAACTGATATATTGATGTTCGATGGCTGGAGCCACGCGATCGGCATTTGAAATGAGATCTGCCTAGCATAAAAAGTGGCCAGCATGATAATGAAAATGTTAATTGGGACTGGGACACCAGCTTGGCATGCTGATGACGGCTGGCCACTTGGACTTGGAAGCTCTCCAAGATCTACCATCCCCATTTTTCTTCGTCCATTTGGCGGCGCCTCATTATCCGTCTTGGGTCTCCATGAATGGCCGCTCGGTTCACTTCCTGTTTGTTCTAAAAGCCACGTGCCCAGGGGCCTGACCTTGTTCAATTTGGTGTCCACATGTGCGTATTGTGTGCCTTTTGCGGTGCAAATGGCCTGCACTCAATAAACAGGCCCCATTTTGAGAGAACATGGCTATGGCTCAGCTGTACTATCCATAACTATCCATATCCATAACACTCAAAAGACCGCATTCCCATTTAAAGCAATTTCCTTGATATATCGGGAAAGGATTTAAAATTACTATGCTCCCAGGCAAAGCAACACAATTTCCAATGTAATGATGCATAATAGCCAGTTACGTTCTCAAATTATATAGCCCACATCCAGTAAAAATGTTGTGCAGTTTAAAGTATATTAATATCATATCAATAACAAGAGTAATGCCGAAAAACCACTTTGTTGCATGATCTTAATCGGGGTTATAGTCCAAATGCGGTTCCGAAATTGAAAAGCATTAACTTAGTGATCCAAAATCAGCGGTTATCAAATTCAATCTCAACGAAAAGCTGTCAAAAATGCATAACAATGACCGCCAATTACCAATGATTTATACAAAAATCTTTTCGATGCGTTGCAATTTCCGTTGTGCTGATTGTTTAAATTATAGCACACAAGTAACCAGTGGAACCTACGTGTTTTTCCGAGCTGTAAGAAATTTATTAATATTTTTCGAACACGGTTTATAGTTTGCTTGTAAGTTTGAATAATAATTCTCTGGCTTGGCTGACTTGGGTTACAGTGAATCACGGGTAATCACAGTGAATAGTAACGAGTGCATTTTGAAATTGAATTTCCTTTACTTAAAAAAACCATTAAGATCTATCAAATATGTAGTCATTTCAATACCGTACAATTTAGCTAACTAGCCGCTTGAAATTGTATCGGAAAACAATTACCGGGTTACAAACAATACAAAGAATTGTTTACAAATTTAATAAATATTTATAAATATATATTAATTGACTACTTTTATACATTTCCGTACTTCCAGTTTACTTGTACAACATTGGCAAGCGTTTTCTGGCCATTACGCAGCCCTTCGATGCGGCCAGAAATCCGGATGCCTCGACTTTGTGTCGCCGGCAGATGCATCAGTTTCTGAACGCCTTGGACAACTTCGATCTGTGGGCTCTGAAGAGTGAGTACTCAACAGCTGGGTAAACAAACTTGAAGCGCGTGGTGGTGGCCAAGTTGGGTTGGGCTGGGTTGGGGCGATTGCAAGGTCACTCGATGACAGTCAACAAATTGGCCAGTTTGGCGTTGGGGTTCTAGTTCTGCAAGTGGATGGTTGAATGGTTGGATGTTGGATGGCCTGATAGAACCGGAGAGCTGGAGAACCGGAGAACAGTAGAACCATAGAACCAGTCGGGGGACGTTCGGCTCGAATTGGAGTCATTGCCAACTGGCAGCAGGTGAAGCTGCAGTCGCAGTTGACTCCGACTTCGACGTGACCGCCAGACGAGTTCGACCCCAAAGTCGAATGCATCAAATGATACTGTTATGGCTGAGGTAATAGGGTACACAAAGAGCAATATAATAACAATTAGGAAGGACAAACAGGAAGTTTGCAAGCATGAGAAAGTTACTAGCACCATAAACGGAAGTATGATATATTATAGAATAAAAAAGGCTTTGCAAACTGTAGAAGAGTGCAAATTTGGTTGAATATATTCCAGAACTAGTGTAGGAAGTAGCTAGAGTTGCTTAGGAAGCAAGTGACTTACTTTTGTGGCCGGCACTGTACTGGCAGCTGTGTGTGCTCCAAAGCGAAGGCCAATGGTCGAACTTTACCCACATTCGCACACCAACACTCACTCAGATGATCGAGCATGTGGCAATGCCAGTTGCATCTAGCGAATTTCCAGCCAAGAGCAGCAAAATTGCAAACATGAGCAAAAACAGCGATTTCAATTGCCACTGCGAACGCGAACTTGACACAAAAGACCGCAACGTCGACGTCGACAGAGGCTTAGAATCAGAACGAGAGGCGCTACGAGTTGCGATCACAGTCAAGGTCACAGTCGCCCCAAACCGCCGCCCACCGCCCACCACAACACGCCCCCCACCGCGCCACTTCATCCGCTCGATAGCGAAACGTGAATGGATCACATATTCAGCTATTCGAGGAATCTCCAACTGAATGAATAAGAAGAATGCCCTAAGGCTGAGGTCAACACATGAGTGCAAAATGGGTATCTGTATGATTATTTTGAAGATCGCATAATTAGGAAGGTGTAGTAGCGAAAATACCGCGATATGTAATAACCATTTACCAGAATCAAAGTGAGTTAAAGTACGATTGCTATTATTCTTCAATCGGTCGCTGACTTTAATCGCCTAATAAAAAAGTCATATGCGTATGCTAATTTCTTCCCGGTTTATTGACATTTACTTGATGAAGACCGCAAGATTATTTTTTATGGTCTAATCAATAAATGAGGTCTGGTTTACTAGAAGTGAAACAGGAGAAATTTAATTTGCATTTAAATGGATGAAACCCATTTTTAAGACAACAACGGGAAGGTAAAATGCTAAGATTTAAAAAAATGTCTATTCAAGACTTGCCAAACGAGTGGATACATTTAAATTTCATTCTTAGACGGGGGTTTTTTGTACTCAAATATCAAATGTAAGCCGTGTCTCCACATAATAACTTTTCTATTTTTTTGTTTTTTTATAGTGCACGACTCCAGTGGCAAATTGAACTCGGGCATTTTGAATGGCAACATCAATCAGCCCGGCGACTTTGACCAGTGCTTGGGCATTCAGCAGCGGATGAAGGATCAGGAGGCGGGCAAGGATCAGGATGGGGACTCCATCATCCGTGGCCAGTATTGCTTGGCCTATGCCCAGCCAGTTCTGCCACACAATTCGAAGCGATTGAGGAGTTTCTTCAAGCTGATCCAATCACACGGACCTTTTAAAAGCGAGTTCAACGACGTGAGTATCCAAACTTTTGAGTTTCCACATCCCAAAGTTCCTTTAATGGAGCACGTGACTGAGATACCTGATCAAGGGAATGAACTGAATCGTTGGGCTCGCGTAATTTATTGATCTTAAATATATATTTTTGTGCATTTTAAGTGGATAAAGTAAAAATCGTATACACTTTTTCATACTTATTTCTGATTGTGTATATGAAAGTGTAAATGTGGCAGAAAAATTGATTAACATGGGTCCGCTAAAATGTTGGACTTCGACATTGAACTTGACCAAAGACGAAAACTGCCTGCGGAGAGCAAGGCGAAGTAATCAAACGCGAAAGATGGTCGTAAAATGCAAATGCCGAATCATAGCCCAAAATCGAAGCCGTAAGCTCCACTCAGGCCAGTGAACCCAGAAACCGGACAAACGGACAAACGGACGGACAGTTTACGGATCTCTGCACCGAAAAAAGAGGAACATCATTTGAATATAAATTGTTTGTTCTGATTATGTCAGCACAATAATAAGTACATATATTTTAAAAATCCATAAGGAAGAACAAGTAAATCGTTCCGGTTTTTTTTCAAGTAAGCAGAACAATTATTATTAGCTTTCGACCGCTTTTGAAATACTTTTTAGTATGCATAATAAAAAGCTACATTTTATTTAGGTATTCAATTACACAGGCGCGTATTAAAAAATAAACTTAAAATCTCAATTCATAAATAATAACAACAACGTAAGTAGTTGCGGTTACTACCCGGTTTGTGGGCGTGGCAAATTTGTTTGGCAAATTTATAGAAATTTACTATGTACATACATATATTTATAAAAAACGGAAATAATATCAGAATAGATGGGCGGACATGGCCAGATCGACTCGGCTATTGATCCTGATCAAGAATATATATGTATATTTTATTCTGCCTCTTAGATACTTTTCAACGAATCTAGTAACCCTTTTACTCTACGAGTAACGGGTATAAAACCTATGTAAACACGTAATTTACCGTTGAAAAGATCACTTAGTTTAGAACACATAAACTTAACATATGTAAATTGCAAAATTATCAAGTGTATAGGCGGAACAAACGCGACCTGGCTTAATTAGATTGCCTCGAATCCCGTTCAACTAGTCATTGTTTTTATGTTTTCGAGAGTAATGGAGGCGTAGGTAGGTCAGAGACCCCAGTTGATTCAGCATTCAATTAACCTGGAGAGGATGGGGCGGTTCTCCTGCGTCATTACCAACTCATCGCCAATCAGACGACCGCTCAATGGGTTTATTTTCTTGTAATTCCAGCCTGGTCACCGCGTGCCCCGCTACTCCTTGATCAACTGGGGCCTCTGTGTGCCCTCCGGCTGCTCCGCCCGGGATGTGGAGTACAGTGTGGCCGAGTACCTGGGCAACCAGACCGCCTCCACGGGCATCACCTTCAATGTGCGCGTGGAGCCCCAGATGTGCCAGGTGCGTGATCAGCGGCCCTGGGATCGGAACACCACCTGGGCGGTGCGCTTCTTCCTGCTCGTGCTCTCCGTAGCCATCCTGTCCACCATCTACGATCGATCGACCAAGTCGCAGCCCAAGCAGAGTGAGTTCGCTCAGCCTAATCTCTAATTGCAGTCATATATGAAATGGTGATTCCATGTTCAGATCCCTGGTTCACGGCCTTCTCGTTGGACAAGAACCTGCGCTGGCTCTTCAGCACGAGCAGTGCTCCTGGAGACATTGAAGCGGTGCATGGCATCCGTTTCCTGAACGCCCTCATGCTGATCTTCTCGCACAAGTCCATGGCCATGTTCTTCAATCCGTACAACAATCGCACTGCCATGTCGGAGAGTCTGGGTCAGCCGTGGACGGTCATTGGTCGAGCTGCCTCCCTCTACACGGATCCCTTCCTGCTCTTCAGCGGCATGCTGACCGCCTACTCCCTGTTTGGTCGCCTCATGAAGCAGCAGCCCATCAGGCTCAAGAACGAGTACATTAGTCGGCTGATGAGGTGAGAGGAGTTCATTTGAATGAGTTAATGAGTTATTGCTGGCACTAATCGAATTGGCTTACCCGCTGCAGAATTGTTCCGCCCCTGGCCGCTTTGATCCTCTTCTGCACGTATGTGCTGCCTCTGTGGGGCAGCGGACCCCAGTGGAACCTGGTGGTGGGCCACCATGCGGACATCTGCAAGAAGAACTGGTGGCGCAACCTGCTCTTCATCCACAACTACTTCGGCTTCAGCGAGATGTGCCTGACGCACACGCACCATTTGGGCATCGATACGGAGCTCTTTGCGGTGGCGCCACTCCTCATCCTGGCACTGTGGCGGTGGCCAAGACGGGGTCTCTTCGCCCTGCTGCTCCTCTGCACGGTGGGAACGGCGGCTAGGTACTACACCACGATTGTCAACCAGCTGTCCAACTACATCTACTTTGGCACCAAGTGAGTTTGGCAGTTTCCTGGGGAAACTATCTATTCGGTATTTTATCGCTATTTTTTTGTGTTTTTGCGATCCAGCATTCAGCGCCTGTTCCGCACCGCCGACTACATGTACTCGTTCCCGCCCCACCGCTCCACGGTGTACATCATGGGCATCCTGCTGGGCTATGTGCTGCGCAAGTACCAGAACGTCCGCCTGAGCCGCCTGCAGCTGCGACTTGGATGGCTGGTGGCCACCGTGTGTGTGCTGGCCTCTCTGCTGGGACCCGCGCCCATGGGCGACATCAACTACGTGTACAATTCCACCCATGCAGCTATATACGCCGCCTTTGCGCCGATCGCCTGGTGTCTGTTCTTCTCCTGGATCGTCTTTGTCTCCCATAATGGGTACAGAAGTGGGTGTTGAGAACGAATATCCATGGCTTGCAGCTGTTAATCTATTTCATGTTCTTTTTGTTTTGTTTTCAACCAGATAAACTGACGAAGCTGTTTGCCTGGCGCGGTTTCCAGGTGTCCACAAAGCTATCGTATGCCATTTACCTGACGCAGTTCCCCGTGTTCTTCTTTAATGTCGGCCGAAGGCGTCACATTCACCACTACTACAACTTTGTTTCGATTATTGTAGGTATCCCGCAGGTTGATCATAGATAGTTAATTGTATTGTTTGTTATATTTACCCATCACAGCTCGATACCAACGAATTCATATCGATCTTCCTGGCCTCTGTGGCCCTGACGGTGCTCTTCGATGCGCCGTTCCAGAATCTAAAGAAGCTGCTGATCAAGCGACCCACTGCGGCAAAGGCGGTGAAAGATAGCCAAGCCAATGGGACGAAGTACCAGGATGCGACGACAACGACACTAGCCTCTCAGCCCAGCAGCACTGCCCTCCTGCAATCGCATCACCCGCACTCCGATTAGTCTGGATGCACACACTCTTTTCTAGCTATGTATAACTTGTAAATGTCCTAGCATTTAGTGGCAATATGTTTAGTGATCCCCAGCGAAATCCCCAAAAAATCCCATCCAATCCGTCCATGTGCCCATCACATTTCCTTCGAATTCAATCCAAAACCGCCCCTAGTTTTAGTGAAACGCTTTATACATTGTAAATTGTACTATTAGTCAAATCGAGCGACAATTAAGAACCGAACCGTAACGAACCGATTCGTAGTCATAAACCAATCAATCACTGCTTGATGTACGATATTATCTTGCTTGCTAAACCGGGCTTCGAGAGGTGGTCACTGCTGGGGAACCCTATATCGTAAGTTTAACTTAATATTGGGGCCCTGGACTAAGACTCTCGGAGCGCATGTTTATTAGAATACTTACGTTACCTTAAGCGAGGTCAAATGTCAGTTTTTAAATGGTAATTTAATTAATAAAATATATAAATATGTTACAAAACCCTCAAGCTTTGTATGTGCATGAATTCCTCAAAGTATGCAATATTCAGATTCAAAGCATACAGTTCTGGAGCGACTGAAATGTGATAAGTCCGATTACTGTTTGAGAAGCATTGGTGCGGACGCCAAAAACTGGTAAAGGTTTAGAGGCACTAGATCGCCAATTCCAATGTGAAGCAGTAAAAACGAAAACATATCACTTATAATACTACTACATTCTATACTTTCATCAAATCGCCAGTCAAAATGTTGATAATGTGCCGACTTAGCTAAGCAACACTTTTGCAAAAAAAAAAACTATGCCCTAAAACTAATAGTACAAGTGCCATACTGAAAATTGTTTTTGGTTTTTTATGCTAGCTGCAGCTATCTGTTGAAAACGAGAGAACATTTGCAACAAGCCCTAATAAACAAGAGGTTTAGATCTGATGAAGGGTTATAAATATTTGTCAATATCAAAGAATATTCCTAAAATGGTATTTGGAAAAATCCTTTAAAATGTATATGTTGGACCTTATTGCTGATTCGCATTTTGTCCGACATAATTGCTTTTCTAAATTATTTTAAACACTGCACGCGAATCAACTACAACCATTTCAATTGCATGAAATAAGTTAGGCACATCCAAACTAGCAAATAACTTCTGCGTTTCTATGTGTAGATTGTTAATAGTTCAATTAAACGGTTCCCTATGTATGGGGCTACTTTTGATAAACACAAAGTATTAGTTTTTAACAATCAGAAACAAGAATTTTGAGCCATTCTTAGGATTCAATTCAGTAAAATTATAATCAGAATCAGTTGATAGGTTTCTCAGATTGAACTTATTATGAATTGAAGTATTTCTATAGATGTTTTTGCGAAACATCTAATTAGATTCAAGTAAAATATTAATTTAGCGATTTTACGATGTGAAATAAATTGCCATGCTTTTTGTTTAGTTACTGGGTATCTAGATTTTAATACTGTCTTTATAAAGGCGTTCTTTTCTAGCTTTCAAAGAAAATTACTACAAATGTGTTGACTTCCAGCAGTCACAATTTCTGCGAAAACCACGAGGAAATCAGCCCTACAGGCGGTTGGTTATGGATCTTGGCCGTTTGCACGCTATCTTTTGGTTGCTTTTCGGTCACATTTCACTTTTGTTGCACAAACAATAAAAAAATATTCACCAGTTTCACTTAATAAAAAAAAACGTTCATTTATTAGCGCTCGAGCGATTTATTAGCCATGTTGCGGGCCATTTTCAGTGGATTTTGGATGGTGTGTTCACGTTGATCAACTGGAGGCTGTCGTTCTCAGTGGTTAAGGGCAGCAGCTATCTCCGTCTATATAACCCGGTGTGGGATATACTTCTTGGGATACCCAGAGCCTTCTACTTGCTGGACTGCGCAGCCTTCTTGGGCTTGGCCTGGGTGCCCTCGCGGAATCCGTTGCGGAAACGGCGGCGCACGACCTTCAGGTGCTGCATGCGACCGGTGCCAGTGGTCTTCCTCCTCTTGGCCTTCACCGACCAGTTGTCTAGCGTACGGAGAATGCAATTATTAACCAGGTAACAGGGCGGTATTGGGGCATCTTGACTTACAGGAACGCAACTTGGCGGCGGGGTAGCCGCACTGGGCGCAAGTAGACTTCTGGATGTGGTAGGAGGAGCGGCCACAGCGACGGCACAGGGTGTGCGTCTTGTTGTGGCGCTTACCAAAGCTGGAGGTTCCCTTCGTCTGTAATGGAAACGCAGGGTATTAGCACTTCTGCTTGCAGGGCACACTCAAAAAAAAACAGGTGAAACACTGGAAATATGCTGCTTGGCAGGCTAGGCAACTATATTTCGGTTTAACGAGCACATTTTACGCACCATCTCTCGTGGCGAACGGTTCAAGAATCGAACGAAACTTGCAAACTACAAATTTAGCACGTGGCTTCTAGTAAAGACGACTTCTCCGGAAGCGCAGCAAAAAGAAAAGGGAAGAAGAAGAGACGCCAGAGGTGAGCAGCGAATAGTGTGGCCGCGTAGCGCGACTATCGATAGTTCAGCTGCGAAGGGTTGCTTAAATACCAAGAACTGGTATTTACAGTGTTGTTTAGCAGGTGGAGAGATGCCAGACCGAAAGGAAGTTCAATTAAATACTGAATTACATAAATACTTAAGGAATGTACAGCCACTTTATATAGTCACATATTACTTCATAATAATGTGTCTGTTTTTATAAAACTATTAAAACTTTTTTTTAAATAATTATAAAAAAACGCCTTAGTACCTCAAAAAATAAAATACATTTCCCTTAACGGAAGACTTAATAGCGCTTAATAGCACTACTATCGATTGCCTAGTCGATAGCACAACAGCACGTGGCACGCAGGCAGTTTAACAGCGGCCGGCAATGTCAACAATCGCCTGCTCCCACAAAACTCCAATAGATGGCGCGCAGCATTGCCCGCCAGTTTAGAACTCACAAATTAGTGAAGTACGATTTGTATTCAGTTTATTTGGTCCACATACAGTCTTAAGTTATTGGAAATGATAAAACGAGCCAGGAAGGTAAAAAATCACGCACTTGTTTAGTAAAAATATTCATTGTTTTATTTATGAAATAAATTATTATTATTTACATTGGAAATAATGCACGAAATTCAAATAATATTGCATACCAAGCGGCATTTTAGCACTGGACCGCTCGACGATACATACTCGAAAACAAAATCTACAAATTACAAGACTATAGAAATACAAATACAGGGCGATATATAATGGGTAGGTATAAACACATAATGGAATGGTGTAGCTTGGTGAGTTGGGGCTAATAATATATACTCTTTCGATCCTGTGCAGATTTGTATACAGTATGTTCTGTGTGGCACGCGTAGTACGATATTATTTGCTGCTGCTGCTGCTGCTGCTGCCGATTGGTGTTTTGTGATTTGTTTTTAAATTTTGTTTTGTTGATTTTTCTTGAGAAATGGATGGGTAGTTTTATCTAGTGTAAGTGTTTACGTAACTAATTTGCGACTATGAGCAAGTCGATTTGGCTTGAAACCTCAAACGAAACCAAGTTGCACATAATTTGGCTGCAGCTGTGTGATCTGCTTGCTGGGTGAAGGGGAATGAGGTGGAGTGGCCTTCGGGGGGTGTGTGGATGTGGGTGGACTGGTGCCTTGCAACTAATTACTACGCCTCGCCTTTTTGCCCTTTTTTCACGCCTTTACATACAACTAATTCATAGAGAAAATTTAACTAAGAACCTTACGAAAGCTTTGCGAATAAATTATACGAGTTCGGGCCAAATCTTAGCACGAGTGCTTATATACTTATAAATGGGACCAACCCCGAAACTCCGCGACTATAAAAACCACATAATTTTGGTAAGCATCTTGCAAAAATTGCCAATAAGAGATTTAAGCTTTTGAGCACAGATTTTTGGGCTATTGGTTTCTAAAAGTTCTCAAGTAGATATTTCGTTAGGCTACGGTTCTAAAATCGCCGGAGATTTCTGAGTTTCAGACCAAAAAATAAACGTCGCATACGATTATACAGCTAAGTATTGACTTGCAAGTTGAAGGATCTCTTGCGCTGATGTTTTAACATTTCGTTCTTTTTCACTATAAACAGAAAAGTCTTCTCCATACTGTTGTCGAAACCTTTTCTCGATCTCTGGCTTACATAACTAATGCGCGAAAAAAAAACTGTTGCTAAAATTAAACAAAAAACGTTTCGTTGTTGCGCTCGCTTTGCAGTTCTCAGATCGTGATTTTCGAATCTGAATCCAAATCCGAAACCAAGAACCCGAGTCCAAATCGAAATCCAAATCCAAATCCAAGTCCGAATCCGAATCCGATTTCTACGCCGACTGCTGCTGGCCACTATCGTTCGTTTGGCTACTGCCGCTCCACGTTGATGGTGATGACCATGGTTGGTCAATAGTGGCCGCCACCACCGCCTCCACCGCCACCGCCACCTCCACTGTGTCGGTGGTGCTCGCGTCTGCCGGAGGAGTGATCCCGATCGCGGTAGTCGCCGTTGCGGGAGCTGCTCTTGTGGTGGTGGTGGTGATGGCGCTTCTTCTCACCCTTCAGGCACACATCCGACACCACCGAGGACACCACCATCTCGGAGTCGTCCCTCATCCCGTAGTTGTCCCTGCCGCATCTGCTTTGGGGATACAACTGATTAGATATTATCTCTAGTTGGGCATCTTATAACGCCTCTACTCAATGTACTCAAATGTATTACAAATACGATTTAAGCGAAGACTTCTGAAAAATGGCTAACCTGTCGAGATTTTCGCGGGATCGCTGCATATTGTCGCGCAGATTGTCGCGGGACCGGGTCATGCTCGGTGGATCGAGTGTCTCCTTGCGGCGCAGGGCGTTGTGTGAGCTGTTCTTGGAGGCGGACTCGTGCAGGTTCTCCCAGGCTTGGCGGTAGTACCTACGAATAAGAATTGATATTATCATTAAACTGTATTGATTATACAGGCAGATAAGCTGGAGTCGCTGATCTTGAGATCGTATTTCCACATTTTGTGTTGAGAGTTATCAAAGTGTTTTGAACCCACCTGTTGAGTCCATTGCGGGATCCGGAGGTGGAGCTATCGAAGCTGGCCACAGTGTTGCAGTCGGGCGAGGCGCGATGGCGATAGTGTTGTGTGGTTCGGTTTCTGGAGATAACAGATCAAATGTATAGACATTAGTTGATATTTCGCAGCATATGGAGGTAATACTGAATGCCAGGACGAAACAGTGTTGGGTTAGTCACAAGTCAGGCAAAAAAGGGTGTTAAGCACGGAGCACTACGCACACAGAGACAGAGACGGATAGATATGATTGGAGAGAGACAGATGGAGGGCTAGAGAAAGAGACAGGCAGGCAAAAAAGACAGAGACAGCGAACCAGGCGTGCAGTGTTTCTGTGTGTGGTTGTGTGCGTGTGTGTGTGTGAAAGAGAGTCTTGTTGGTGGGTGACAGATGCATTGATTGATTGATTGATTGACTGATTGATGGAGGTGCAACAGCAAGGAGTAGGATTATCGCCTCACAGCCCACAGCATTCGCAGCTTTCAGTATTTTGTTTGTTGGTGTTTGTTTCAGTGTTGCTTGTTTGATTGACTGACTGATTGATTGTTGTTGTTTCGTGTGGTGTTGTTGTTGACTGTTTGATTGATTGATTTTTGGGCTGCTTACATTTGTGCATATGGCCGCTTTGTTTGATCTTGCTCTTAATTATTTTTAATTCGTTTTTTTCTGTCTTGCATCTTTGGCACGTTATTTTTAGTTTTGAGTGCTTTTTCCAGGTAGTAGCAGGTCTCTTTGGCTTGGTTTTCCATCGGTTTTCCATTGGTATTTTCTGTCGCTTTGCTTTTCATTCGGTTGCCCTACATATGGGAGTTGCTAAAGAGTCCAGCCCGGGCACGATATCCCCGACCATAGCTGCTGAACTCCCGCCGACCCAGCTTCTGATCATCGAAGGGCAGTGCCAGTACGCTGTACCACATGGATGGTGCTGGGACCAGGCCACCAGCACTGCTGGATCCCACGCTCCCATAGCCACCGCCGTCGGGAATGAGGTGGCTCTGGGTTAATTGGGCGGTGGATGCGTAGCTGGTGGCACTGGTGGCCGTCGCCGTGGCATAGCTAGGCAATCGACTCGGTCGCGGTATCCCGATCCCGATCCCAATTCCGATTCCCCCCTGGTTTTTCTTCGTTTGCGCTGGCTGCTTCTTTTGGCGGTGGCTCTGATGCAGTTGCTCCTGTTGTTGGGGGTACTTCTGCTGCTGCTGGTATGGGTAGTTCTGCTGGTGCTGGTGGTGCTGTTCCTGCTGCTGCTGCTGCTGCTGCTTGCGGTGGTGGAATTGCTGCTGCATCTGCTGGTGGTGTTGATGATGAGCATGATGATGTTGGTAAGCGGTTAAGTGTTTGGCTAGGTGCCGCCGTTGGCTGTTCGGGGTGCTGACGAATGGTTTTGCCAAAAGACAGAGAGTGGGAGAAGCAAAAACGAAAAAAGAGAGTTGTACAACGAGAAAGAGAAAGCGTTCGATGTTCAGGTGTGTGCGTGTGCGTGTGCGTGAGAGACTCTCTTTTTTGTACAGGTGTGTGCGAGTGTTGAGGTTTTCACAGAGAGATAGATTCAAAATTCCGGGGATTACTGAAATCAAAATAAAACCATCCAAAGTTTGGGGGCACTCAGCGACGAAAGAGACAGGTTGTGACATGAAGAGCGAGACGGAGACAGCGTTTGTGATCTAGAGGGAGCGAGACAGACAGAGCGAGAGACAGAGGGAGAGGGAGGGGACTAGAAAGGGACAGGTGGTGGCTGGGCAGGTGGTGACCCCGACAACGACATCGACTTTTCTCCACACACAACATAGTTATTGATATGAAATCACGGTCAATCTGATCTTATTACAAATTCCGTTTCTGTGGCACTTTAAACCTACTTAACAAAGATTAAAATCGAATTATGTTTACTGGTATAGTTTGGCAACAGTATTGCATTTCGAAGGTATTACAGATGCTTTAAGTAAGAAATATCCAAGTAAACAAAAAAATGACATCAAAATTTATCCATTGGTTTAGGAAATATAGTATGTTAATAAAAGTTAAGGGAACTATGGTATATATGTATACTAATTTCATAAAATGGTCAGTGTTTTAAAGAACGTTAAAAGCGCTTGAGTTTAAATGTATATATATATATATATTAACTGCAGTACCATTATAATTTGAAATTAATTTATCACTGATAAAGCCCAAGTCAAGTTAACATTGCTATCCGTTCATATTAAAACGACTAAGTGTTGGTTAGCCAATGATCGCCATGCTTATCTGTGGAAAACCTAATCAAATTGACCCCGAACATATCGGACTAACTGATATCACTGATCCCATAACTGCTCCCAATTTCTGTGCCCACATCGCCAGCTGGAGGACTCACCTTCGCACAAGGATCACGATCGTGGTGATGACGGCGGCCAGGAAGACGAAGCCACCAAAAGCGCCCAGAGCAACGATGGCGCCCAGATTGAGTTTGGCCTCCTTGGTCTCCTTGCGGTCGGGATTGTCGACGGCGAAGGGCACGTTGACATTGGGCGACTGGTTCTGCTGGATGTTGACGCTGTCGGGGATCTCGTTGTCCTGCGGATGCGAGTTGGCGATGATCTGCTGCGTGTTGCGCGTGGTGGTCTCCACGCCGCCGGCGCTGTTCGGAGCACCACTTGGTCGCGAGCTGCGCGGTGGTGTGGGCGCGTAGGTGGACGGTGGCTGCGGTGGCACCTGGTGGGTGGTGGGCGGCAGGGCAGCCGGCGTGCTGTTCGGCTTCTTCGGTATGAGCACTGGACGAACGGTGCGTCGTGGTGGGAACTCCTCGCGGACGGTGCCAGGCACTGGAGGCACATTGATTTCCTCCTCGGATTCGGCTGCGGATCAAAGATGATGAATGAACAATTATAAGTGAAATGGCTCTTCCAATCCCTTCAAGAGATGCCAGACATTAGCAAGCAGTAAAGATTAGCCTCAGGTGACTCTGAGGTGATCCTTCGTCGCTCTACTCACATTCGCCGTTGATCTCCACCTGCGTGGGACTGAGACTGGGATACGTGCCCACTGTGCTGGTGGAGCTGCCGCCGATGCCGATGCCGCTGCTCGCCGTGGAAACTGCTGGGCGGTAGGGGGTGCGGCTGGTGGTCGAGCTGACGACCTTGGGGCGGAAGGGCGGTGGCGTGGCGACCGATGAGGGCACAGGAATGGTGGGCGCGGCAGTGGGCTGCGTGGATGGCTCCAGCTTGATGCAGCGCGGCAGGGCACTGCTCCATTGGCCACTGGCCAGGCAGGTGAGCACTCGAGGTCCTTCCATGCGATATCCTGGCGGACAACTGATCTCCGCCTTGGAGCCGTAGTAAGTGCCATTGGGAGCACTGATAATGGTGCTGTAGTAGTTGCCAGGCAGAGTGTCGCACTCCACAACTAGAAAAGGGCAAGTGAAACGTTGGGCTTAGGGATCTCCATCGCTCGCCTTCTATATGCATCTGTACTCACTCTCACAACGTGGTGGAGGTCCGTTCCAGCGCTCATCAAAGTCGCAGGTGAGCAGTGCTCGTCCTATCATCTCGTAACCCTCCTCGCAGGAATACTTCACCAGGCTCAAGTAGCCAACCGTGTTGTTCAGCAGGGCGTAGGAACCATGGGCAATGCTGGCCGGCAGACCACATTCGATATCTGAACAAGGATTGGATATTAATTACCATATTTCAGGGATTACTGTGTAAAGTTCTTTCTCAACGGAGCAGTTTTTGGGACTGCTGCATCGTCAGCAACCGCATTCATACTTACACTTGCACACTGGCGGGAACTCATTGTAGAAACCCGTCTCCAAGCAGGTCCTCGTGGCAGGACCCACCAGCAGGTGATTGGCATCGCAGCTGTACTTGATCTGGGCGCCCACCTCGAATCCGTTCAGGGCCACCATCGTGGAGTTGGGCGGTTGCTCCGGTCGGCCACAGGTCTTCGGTTGGTGCTGACAGATGAAGTTCAGCAGCGTGTTGCAGTTGGTATCGCTCCACAGCCAGCCCTTGGAGCCATCGAATCGGGCGCAGTCCTCATCGCCGCCGGGATGACTCCAGAAGGAGACGGTCAGCTCGTCGCCGTTCACCCATTTCCAGCTGCTGCGATCGCTGCCATCGCGCACCGCTCCCATCCAGTACTGCGAACTGACGTCACTGCGGTGACGGCGCCACAGCTCCCAACTGATGAATCCCTGCAGCGCCGGATTGCTCTCACTGATCAGCGTACCGCCACGGGATCGGCAGAAGGACAGGGCGTCCAGGAAGTTCAGTGGCTGGCGGTTGTAGAAGATGTAGCACTTGCCGTTGTACGAGGCCAACGCACCAGGTGGCTGGTCGCGGAAGGTGGGACACCGCTCGATGGGCAGTGCCTGGTCCGTGTAGACGAACGCCTCGCAAATGGACAGCGGATTGGGTGTGCTATTCTCCAGGTGGACACTCACAAAGGCTCCCGGCATCGGGGGATTGCAGGGCAGGAAGAGCGGTTGTCCGGCCTCCAGGAGGCCCGTGAAGCGGTTGCAGATCGGATTTGTGCCCAAGTCCGGACGATTGTTACCCACTCGCACCACAATTGTGGCGGGCTTATTGCCTGCAAAGGTAACGTATGGTGTTAATTAGGTTGCTGGCAAAAATGAATTAACTTTAAATCCCTTCTTAGCAATTCACTCACTGATTCTTCGCAAAAATAATCTGACTTTGGCCAAAAATAAGAAAATGGTGGACCAAATGTGGAATGTTCCACCTTGTTGAACTCGTAACAAAATTTCCAATCGAGTGGCATTCACAGATAAAAATTTGACCGCCTATAAATACACCGAAAATTGGTTTACATACTCTTACTTCATGATTTTGTAAACGATAGAATGTAGCAGTGAGAGTGCCCCTGATTAGGTAATTACTTGCGATCTTCAAGTTTAAGTACCATTAATTAGTCGTTGCCTAGTTTCTTCGAGCGAACAAACACAGCCCCAGCTATTTCTATTGGTATTCCTGTTGTGACCATTATTGCATTGGCTTTGTCTGTCAGCAGGTCAGGCGGGTTCAGCTCAGCTCGGTTTGGCTGAAAGCCGCAGACTCAGCCTCATCGTCAGCCAAGTGAAAGTAATCATAAATTTCGGGCCGCACTGACTCACTGGGTCTGGGTTTCATGGGTTTTTTTTCAGCTCGGAGACCGAGTCCAAGACCAAGTCAAAGTCGCAGTCGTCGCTGTCGTCGCCAGAGCCGCACGAAAATCACATAACCAAGCAAAGATTCGAGGAGACGGAGATGGAGATGGGGATGGAGTCGAGGATGAAGATGGAGCTGGAGATGGGGGACTTCAGGTTGCTGGCAAGTGAAAGCATTAGGGAAAACTGGCTGGCAGTTGTTTGCTTTTGCCGCCGTTGCTGGGTTTCGGCAACCCTTTTTTTCTCTTAAAACAAAGACGCTGTTTGGGGAAGAAGATCGTGCAGCATTTGCCATTTCAGCCAGTGAGGATAGGTACTGGATAGGTACTCGAAAACCTGGTAGCTTGGGCAGACTTATAGACTGGGCATAGGCCCTGGTAGACTGGCTGACTGGCAGCCTGGGAAAACGGGGGCATTGAACTGTCCGTCGGGCGCGAGAGTTTCGTCCATAGAATGTGGTCCGAGCAGGTCTATTACTCGACTTTATCGCCATATATATTTACTATATGTTTGCGACAGGTTTAGGGTTGGGCCGCCGCGATAATGATCGACTGCGGTTTGAATAAAAGCGAAAAAGTTGCTCAATTTAATCAATTTGCTCGAGGATTACCACGGGCTAAGCGCCATTTACTCGTTAAGTTTCTGTCTGCCAAAGTTGCCATAAATTGTGGCAACCGAAAAGGGAATAAAGTGCGCAGCATTCATATACTTTCCATTTTTATTGGGTTTTTCTTTTTTTTGCCAAGGTAGTGAGTGGACTTAAAGGTACTTATAGGTTTCCACAGACACAGTCTACACATTTTTAAAATTTTGAATTTCAGCAATTGATTGCCCTGATTACACTCCATTTGATTCGAGGCATTGGGACCTAAACTTACCGCAGCAGGATTTGCCAAAGTCCAGGCGGACCAGTTGCACCATGTAGGGTTCCAGGAGATTCACATACCACCAGGGCGATCGCTCCGCCTTCGTCAGCGAGCAGGTCTCCGGCGTGAAGAAGGCGGATGTGGAGCCATCGATGGCCTTCTGTGGAGCTCCGGCTCCATCGGTGGAGATCTGCATGGGCGCTTTGCCAGCGGCGACGTTCAAAACTGTAAGTAAATTGGGAAACCGATTTATTAATCATAAAGTAGTTAAAGTAGCATATTTTTTGCTTGAAAACCGATGGGAGCTCCTTATAAAATATAACATTAGAAGTACATTTTTTTGCTGCAGTTTTTCCTCATTAAGACTTGTGAATCTAATATATTTAACCATGATCCTATACAGAACCAAGTATAATCTGTGCTAACTGCGCTGCTGATGAGCAAATATAAAGATAGGGGTCATTGGTAATTATTTGGGAATTCAAGGCGCAATGCGGCAATGAAGATCAGTCTTGGGCCGCTTTTCAAGCCATTTGCTAGCCAGTTGGAGTCGGTCTTGGATTCAGTTGGTCCGAGGGCCGGAGCACCAGAGTTCCCAGAGTGGGCCCAAGGCCCGGCTAATTGGCCGCGGGCCCTGACACGGTTTGTGGCCAAAACGAGTGAAGACAAAGCAATAACAACTCGAAAAGGCCAACAAACAACTACAATAACAAAAATTAAAGAAGAAAATCTAACAATGTTCTGCCTGGCGAATTTGTCAAGAGACCTTCGTTCTGACCCGGGCCCATTGTCTTTTTTTAGTCTTGGGCTTACTTTACGGGCCTGGAGATTTTTATGCGCTGGCCAAAAAGCAAAAGTGAAATTTAATGTCGACTCAACTTTTACTTGCTCACTTGGCCGGGCTTAATTACATCGCTCGCCACGCACTTCTGCGGCATTGGGATTCATTAATCAGATGCATCTGTCGGATAAGACGGGTTTGGTTTTGGACCCGAGTTTACGAGTATTTTTGTTTTTTGTTTTTTGTTTTTGAGCTCAACGGCCTGGAAACGCTTTTTTTGCGACGGCTGCTTTCTAACTTGGAGCAAGCCACCGCCCAATTTCTCTGTGTGTAGCAAGCAGCAGGTGTTTGCCGGTGTGACAAATGCCTTTTAATTTCATTTAATTAATTTTCTATCGCCTGTCTAGCTGCCGCCTGCCTGCTGAGTCACTTTGGATCAAAATTCGAATTCCAAAACCAGACCACAGATCATTTTTAGTTCGGGCAATATCGGCTTCGTTTTCCATTTCTGTTACAGCGTCATAAACATTGCAATCAGCTAGCACAGCAGGGGATTTAGGGGTCAGATACAGCAGCTATGGGGCTTTGGATTTCATGATTTGCTCGACCTCGTGTCAAAGAATTTTAAGGGAATATTAATGGACTCACACAAAGTAGAGGTATTAAAATCAAATTGGGTCAGTCAAAGTGAAATCATAAATGTTAACGTGAAATATAGTTCGTTTGAATTTACTTTCTATGCATGAATTCTTTGGATTGCTTTCTAATGAAAATACAGCTTAATTACACATTAATTTACGTTGCGATTGTGTGTTTATCCCACCCTTTTCAAGTGCCAACAATTTTCCCGGTAGTTCCCTAAGCTCCCCAGATTTTTCCAGGCATTATCAACGCGTATCAACACCTACTACTGCCTCAGATCCATCGATTTATCGTTGAGATCTCCAGCAACAAAGAGCCCGTTGAAATTTTGATGGATCGTTAAAGGGCGGCCTTTTACAAGAATTATTTCACGCCCACCAATCGATCAGTTCATTCAACAAATGCCGGTATTCATTGACTAGAAATCCCTTTGCCGCTGCTCTCGTTATGTCAATCATTTTGGTTCCGTTTTTGTATTCGGCCCACGGAAGTGCATGTCTAGTGGAAAATTCATTTAGAACATTTATTTATTTTCGTGCCCGACACGTTTTACTCTTTGATTATTTCATGACCGTTGGCTTTTTACGTTCGTAGCCACAAAAGTGGGTCAATCAGATCGAGCGCGGTAATTTTTGAATTCTTCCCACCTCGCGGTCTTTCTTTGCTGTCCAGTCTTTCTTCACACACACACGCATTGGATTTTAGCCCAATTTCGCGCGTTTTGTTAATCATGTTTCGCTTTTGGTTAACAACTTTGCATTCAATTGGAATGCTATTTGCTCTCTTTCACAGCGGAGAGCATACATTCAAACAAATGTACTGTAATGTTTTAGGTTTAATTTACTTATGGTTCTTTCCTTAAGGAATTTAAATAATTCTGAGAAATCGTGCGACAGCTTGGAAATATAGCCTGTTTAAATGATTTTTTCTTATATTCAACTATTGATTTTATCTATAAATGAAGTAATTTCTTTCTGTGTTGGTATATTTTGAGAACGCTTCCAAGTTTGTGGCGGTGAAAGTAGTTCCCAGTCCGCGGCCACGTCCGATTTGAAATCGAAGTCTCCTCCAAGGCGCTAATTGAGTTGACGAACGGCAACGGCAAGTTCGTGTCCGCAGTCTTTTGTTTGGCTGCTTGGCTGTTTGGATTTGTGTGTGCTTGTGTGTGTTTCTCGCTTACCGCAGAACGGAATGCCCTCGGGCACCCACTGCCCCTTGTCGCAGACACGCCGCGCCGGTCCCAAAAGCTCGAATCCGCGTTCGCAGCTGTAGGAGGCCACCGTGCCCTGGGTGAGATTCGCATTCGAGAAGACGACGCTGCTGTGCGCCGGCGATCCCGGGAAACTGCAACCGGCATCTGCAAGGTAGAAGAAATTATTATTAGATTATATGGCCATCAATTACTCGTATTCTTCGGCTTCTTCGATTGCCGCAACAGTTCCCATCAGCGAGTCTTCACTGCACTGCCCCTAAGCGAGCAAATCATTTTTGATTGATTTCCCAATTAGGCTTCGATGGGGTTCTCAGCGAATTGAGTTGCCTGGGCATAGATATTCTCCCCATCATTTATCAAATTAATGCCCCACTAAGATTCTCGATTAAATGTTGATTAAGCCGAACGGCGGACATGAGATAATATTGATTCTAAGATTATAGAGTGGCAGGAATGATTGAATTTAGACAGAAGGGGAAAGCTAAGAATTGGTTGAATAGATTTATGCGCTTTATCAAATTAACAGATTAAATATTGATTGGAAAAGCGTAAAGTATTAGCAACTCACTGTTCTATTTGAGTATAATTATAGAAATCTAAGAAAAGCATAACATTTAATATGCCTATAAGTATTATAATAAAGATATTATTACTTGGCTGCAATATTCACAATCAAAACAGGGAAACTGATGCAAAGACTTGTCCGCTGTTTTCCCATTATAATGATTCGTTATGGTACGATTTAATTTCCAGTCAATGCATCTAAATCATTTCCAATTATTACGTGTTATATCGTTTGCTGCCTTGTCAGTGGAATTCTCCCCCCAACTTGATTGACAATTAAGCAAGTTCCGTTCCACTTTGGTCACTCGAATCGACGCCAGGCGAAAAATCTCTGGTATTCGCAGATTGCAAAATGTTCTCGACTTCAGTTGTTGTTGCCTGTGTAGTTGTTGTCAATGCAAAGCGTGAGAAAATGGCCACAGCAACAACAACAACAAAATGAGACATCAGGAAAAAACAGACATCAATTTAGTTGTAGCTGCCGCATTTGTACCTATGTATCTATGCAAAAATGCGAGCCAGCCGTGTGCAATAATCAAATGTGTTGCTGCTGCTACAGCATGATTAGTTATTCAACTGAGCAGTTCCCAGGCTATCCAGCTATCTAACTATCCAATCCAATGTCATGAGTTTGATTCATCCCCACCGAATGCTAACTGCTTAAATTGTTCTTTTTCCAAGTGCGACTTTGCATAATCGGCGAAGTGGGAACTCTGTGGCCAGTCAAAAAGGCAGTCAGTCAGGCGGCGATTCATGCCATAAATGGTCGAATAACTGCAACATCATTTGACCAACAGCCAACAAGCAGCAGTGCAACTTTCCAAGCAGCTGCAGCGGCGTTAAAAAACATTGAGAGCGCTGTTGTTGAGCGTCTCGAATATTCGATACCACCTACTCAGCAAGCGGCAAAGCGACTGTAAATTAACCAAATCCCATTAACTTTTATACTCTTTAAAGCATGTGATCGGCCACGCTTCCTTCTACCCGCTGTATACTTTTCCACGGACTAGTATACCCTTCAGTCTGCGGGTAATGGGTATTAAAAAAGGGGGAGGAATGAAAAAAAACACGTCTTGCCCAGTTGTTGCTACACATTGCAGCCAATTGCTGCAGCAACAGCAGCTTCTTATACAATCTCGATGCACCGATGCCAATGCCAGTGCAATTTCATCATAACGGTTTCTTCTTAGCCAACAACTCATCCAAACGCTTATTTTTTAGCCACTCCAACTAAGCCATAAAGTGTATATAGAAAGGAATACCCCCCACTGAAGAGAGCAACACAAATCAAATTAGTTCGGGCAAATTGAAATTAACAAAAGGCAACTTTTAGGCGAGTCATTTGTCATGCAGGGCAAACGCAAATTAAGAAATCAAGTTCATGAGGCATTTTCAATTTCGGCTCAGTTTCGGTTTCGGTTTCGGTTTCAGTTTCAGTTAAAGTCCAAGTTACAGTTCCCCCAACTTCCAACTTAATGACGACTCCCACGCTGTGCGTCGAAAACCGAGAAAGAAACCAAACCAAAGGTTGCCCAGTCGGCCATGCATGACAATGCGGCTCCAACTCTTTGGCACCATACAATCTTTTTTTTTGGGATCTGTACTTTTGGTTTTTCTGGGCCCGTTTTTTCCCTCTGTATTTTTATAGAGCTGCTAGTGGGAGCCAATACCTTAAAGTGCAAAGGCAGACAGCAACTTGTTGCCATTGCCGTTTGCGTTGCTTTCATTTGCTTTCTATGTGCGCGAACTTAGTGAAAGTGATACCCATACTCCCATACATATACATAAGCCTCACACAGCAACAACAAATAAATACAAAGCAACAATACAACAAAAAAGCACGCTATCATTGACAAAACAACAGCAGCAATTTGTTAAACAAGCAACTACAGCAGCAGCAGCAGCAGCAGCAGCAGCAGCAACTTCACCAACCAGCAACATCCAACATTATGGAAGTTGGAATATTCATTGTGTGCGGATCTAAATCATCTAATAATCATTATAATCATAATAACCGTTATAATTTCCAACTAGTTTCGGACATGGTCCGTTGTTGCTCTTGTAACAAATTACCCATCAACGCCTTTTCTATGATTGCCATTGCCTTAGCGTTTCTTCTTTTTTTGCTAGGCAAAATGTGGTGTGGTGTAGCACCAAAATCGAAATTGTTATTTGCACAGTTCACCAAAAAAAATATATACAAAAATTAAAGGAGGATTGAATGAAAAATGATTGAATAGCAGTAGAGGAAAGAAAAGCATGGCTAAAAAAAAAACGAAAGCGGGAATTAATTTTTGGTTTCTGCGGTCTCGGGAAAGGAAACATTTTTTCACATTTAAAGTAGCAGTTGAAAAGTCATAATCATAAAAAACCGAACAATGCCCATGAAAAAAAATCATTAAAATTTCGAAGAAGAATTATAAGAAATATGTGAAATGTCTCTGAGTAGGAAACAAAAATGCTGATAGTATGTATACATTTAAATATGATGAGCTGCTTGGAAATTGCATCAATAAAAATCCATTTAGCTCTTTAAAGAAAGAGCATGCGTTTAGGGATGCAATATGTAAATGAATTTGTCTCTGCTTGGGAAAAGGTTATAGCTTGTATGTCATCGCCTATCTTGCCCTATTTATATGCCAAAGACCAGTTTCAAATCAGAGGGGCAAGTGTGAATGGTCCGCGATTTCCGCTTGAATGGAGCCCTCAATTAATGCGATTCAGTGGATTAAAGTGCAGCTTACAGTGCAGGTGAACCTGCAATCGCTGCGTAGAAAGTTGCACTTCAATGGCTAATGGTGACCCCCACTTAAGTCTTATGGTCTTATGGTTCGCTCCCAGGCCCAGCCTGCATTCCCCATTATCCATTCTTCATTTTCCAGTTTCCAGTTTCCAACTTCCATCATATTCAGTCTGCAGTCTGCAGTCTGCAATTTGCGTATGTCGGCTAATTTCATTTTAAATGCAAGTCCACACCTCAAGGAATTTTTACCTGCGGAGTGGGCACTGCCTATTGTTTCTGCCCCTTTTATTTGGCCAGCTCATTTGGGGACGGCTCTTGACCCAAGCGCTAATTAGTCTCGGCTCTGTGTAAGTGGGAAACTAAGTTGAGAAAATGTCTGAATGAAAAACTGGAGATTCCAGATCGTAGTTTCCCGAAAAGGTTTTCTGCAGTGAGTGCAGTTCTGGGACGTCATGCGCTGATTGCCAAGCGCCTACGCTTCGCCGATTACTCTATATCTGCTGATCTCGATGTTAAGATCTTGCCGTGCTTTTTTGGGCGGAAAGTGCAAGTGCTAGTACCCGATGGCCCAATTGCGATAGTCGAGGGAAACCCTCCACTTTGCTTACAGAAGGAAAATAAACATGAAGAGAAAAGAAATTTTCATTCCATTCACCCGAACGGCGGGAGTCTGGTCGAAAAAAACGGCTCTAACCGTTAACTCCTCGTCATACTGGCCATAATATAATGATGATGATCGAGGGGGAAGAGCGTATTGGCCGCTGATTGGTTTTGGATTTACATAAATTGGCGCTGGAATGGACCGGGCTCTCACGCAGCTTCTTCTCCTTTGCGGCGCGCTTCTCTTGACCCAGTTTGCTAAGCTTTTTGGTGTTGCTGTTGTTAGTTTGCTGTTTGCAGTTCATTTTTGTTACTTTATTTTTTGGTAAGCCAAATTAGTAGAACCTCGTTAAAGTCGAACACAAACAAACAGACACACGCTCAGGGAGTCGGAGAACATCGAAAAAAGATTTCGCAAGTGACTCGGCTTGCGCAATGTGGCCATTGTTGCTTTTGTTGGCGGATGCGCCTGGCCAGACGAGACTTGTGCAAGCTGCAAGTTCGTTGCCTAAGTCTTTTGACTTGAACTTCCGCCAGAGGATCTCACTTGGGTATCAATGGGCGACTTTTGGGCACTTATTACTCATCACACTAAGTGAAAATTTGTTGCTATACAAATCCATAAATAAATTATAAAATCATCTTTTTTTTCCATTTACAGCAGAACAACAGTTGTAGAAATTTAAGAAACAGTGTACAAGCTATGAATATTTATTTATGAAGTATATCATAATTCTAACACCAAATTGTGGTGTTTAGTAATTACAAAAACCACACATTATTAAGTTAGTATAGTAGGGAATATAAGTCCCTAAACTGTTATAAAGCCCGAAATAATTTTATTTTATTAAGCTGGCCATGGCTGTCGGTTTTTTTTTCGGTGTTTCTGTCCGGGGGACTGCCCTTGGCTTTTGGTATACCTCGCCAGCCGTTCGTTCTTGCCTTTTGGAATTAATTGCGCATAAAAATTGCCCATCATGCGCAGTAAATGAGACATCACAGAACGTCTGCGAGCTAGTTGGCTGGGGCTAAGAGCTGCTAAGCGTATTAAATAAACATGCCAGCGATGGTTTCCCCCCACCCCTCCCCGGCGCTCTTTTATGTAACGGTACGCACAGCAACAATAAATTTCAAGCGTAAACAGTTACGTAAAACAACAAGAAGAACAACAGCGGCAGTGGTAGAAGAACCAGAAGAATTGCTGCTGGCTGTCTACCGCTCTCGACAATGACAGCAT